AAATACCCTCAAAACGTTTTGGGGGTATTTTGGTCAATTTATTTCATGTAAAATATTTTTTTAATATTTTTTAAAGATTCAACTATTTTTTATGAACACACTCCTAAAATTTCAAATAATTTGGATTTGTAGAAAAAAAATAAAATTCAAACACTATCGAACATCCATGATCGTCAGATCGGATCATATATGTTCATATGAGCTAGTTAGCTAATCCCACCTTTTCTCATTCTAAAAATCCTTAGCTAATCCCACCTTTTCTCATTCTAAAAATCCTTATATATTTGTTTGTTTTCTCATTCCCTCTCCTTATTTACAGAAATATCTTTCTACTTCCATCTTTCTCTAGCCATTTCTTATCCATGAACTCACAGGAATAAAAGCCAAGGTAGAAATTGTTTATTTTCTTATTATGGACCCGCTTCGATGCTTGACCATTTAAACGTTTGTCCATTCATAGGCATCATTGTTTTAGAAATAGTGGATGCACTGCCATTATGTATGTTGTATACTTTCCTGGATACCTAAAAGAACGAGATAAAACTACATGCAAATAATGAAACTTAACTAACTCGTTACCTACAACTTGAGATGTTTTAGGAAAATTATAGATATGAAAAACCCATATGAAAGCTTTTCTTGACTAAATATTTGCTAACAAATAAATTTTTTGGAAAATCATTAAACTTCTTTTATTTCCTATGTACTACATAACGGTGTTCAAATAGATAGCCGAATCAACTCGTAATCCGCAGATTAACTCAGATTGATCGTCTTGCCAAGCCGATAGTAGTTTACAAACTCTGTAAATTAAAAAAATTAAAATGAATTCATAAAAATTAAATTTCGTCACTAAATCAATATAGAAACATTTTCCCATTGAATTTTGATGACTATTTATGAACTTTTTTTTTCATTATTTGCTCTACAATTATATTTTCCCCTTTTTCTTTGGAACTTTCTATATTACTTCTACATGAAAATATTTTTTTCCAAATTCCATCTTTTAAATCTTTTCTATCATTTGCAAAAAAATTGTGTTCTACGGTTTCATTTGGTTTTTACTTTTTTTTTTTTTTTTATTCTTTATCAATTTTAAAATTTTTATTTTCCCAAATTTAGAGCCTTTATCCTAAATGTACTAATGAGTCCACTTGGACTCACCGGAGTAACCTTGCTTGGGCAGCATCGAGTTCGACGGCCCGGCTGAGTTTCATAAAATTGCTACAAAGGTATCTTAATAATTATAAGAAATGAAGCTTGAAAATTCATTACAAACTTGGAACCAGATTCTTTGATGATGGCAGTGACTCCTCTGAGGTAAGCAGTTAAATAAACTTTCTTGTGTAGTTGGAAAAGTAAGAGAAGTCATTTTAGGGACAAAGACAAGTAGGTATATGCTTTAATTTTTGTGGGTCCTGAATTTAGGGGCTTGGAGGAAATCAGTATACGCATTAATTTATATATGCATTAATTTATGAGAGATTAGGGAAAAAGAAAGTAAAATTTGGGTCCTATATTTAGAGATTAGGGAAAAAGAAAGTAAAATTTGGGTCCTATATTTAGAGATTTGGGAAAAGAAAGTAAACTTTCTCATGTATTTGAAAGGGTAGGAGAAGTCATTTTTGGGACAGAGATAAGTAGGTATATGCTTTAATTTATGTGGGTCCTGAATTTAGGGACTTGGAGATAAATAAATATATACATTAATTTATGTGGGTCGTATATTGAGAGATTTGGGAAAAAGAAATCAGTATGTCCATTAATTTGTGTAGCCCAAATTGGTACTCTTCTTCAATCTCAACGTAATCGCCCCAGTGTATGCTTTCTCGAGTAAAACCTTTATCTAGGTGTACATTTAGTGTCTATAAATAATAATTAATTTTATCTAGAATAAAATATTTAATCTACGAGAAATTTTTGTTATTTGATATATACTTTGATGTAACTATTTTGTGTCTTTTCAGCTATTTTTACTTATTTCAGATTTAAAACATTTGTTTCTCAGTTATGTTCACTAAAGTAAAGACAGTATTTCAAAATATAAAACTTATATATTACTCCAAAGAAGACAAACATATTTTATCTCAGATAACATGACAATGCCAAACAACATATAATTTATTATTAGGATTAATTTTTTGAAAAATTTAGATGTGATTGATAGAATGAGCAGACAAGAGCATCACAAATTGCTCGTCCATTACATCAAGCAGGGGAACTAAGGACCACTTGTGCTGTAATGCCAAACTCAAAAAGGTGTGAGGTGCTCCATTTTCATGTGGTAGACTCCAAGTCTTGAAGAAAGTGAATGCTTATTTAAGTTTACCCACCCATGCATCTCTCCACTCCAATGCAACTATGGAGCTGTCTCACTTTCTGCCATTTTTTAAGCTCATCCTCTTTTCTTTCTCCATGACTCTGCCTATTATGTGTGTATCACACTTATCATTACTCAACAACCTCACCGACCAACAAGCCCTGCTTTCCTTCAAAGACCCTGTTACCTTGGATCCTTATAATGTCTTAGGTAACTGGAACACCAGCATGAACTTTTGCAATTGGACTGGTGTCTCATGTAGCAAACGCAGGCAGAGGGTAACCTACTTGAACTTGGCAAGCACTGGATTGCAAGGCATGCTCACCCCCCACATAGGGAATCGATCATTTTTGCAGGTTCTTACCTTACGAAACAACAGCTTCCATGGAAGCATACCTCCAGAAATCGGTCGCTTGTATCGCTTGCAAGTCCTTCACATTGGCCGAAACCAATTGGAGGGGAGATCCCACCAAGCATCAGTGGATGTAAAATGTTGCAGTGGTTGATATTGTTATATAACAGGTTGGAAGGATGCATCCCTAAGGAACTGGGTCTTCTACAAAAGATCAAGGTGATGAATCTTGGTGTTAATTTCCTTACATGCACTCTTCCCTCATTACTCGAAAATCTTCCTACCTTCGAGGAAATTGACCTACATGAGAATCTTCTGCATGGCAGCATACCTGATGATATTGGATTTTTAAGCAATTTAGCCTTCCTAAATTTCCACACTAACAACTTGAGTGGATTTATTCCTTCATCACTATTCAATATGTCGTCCTTGATATATTTAGTCCTCTATTCCAATTATTCCTCTAGTTCACTTCCTGCAAATATGGGTTCTATGTTGCCTAATCTTGCAGAACTTTACCTTTGGAGCAACCGAGTGGGCCAATTCCATCTTCTTTACATAATGCTTCAAAGCTCACCGTACTCGAGCTACAGAAAAACCAATTCAATGGACCGGTACCCACATCTCTTGGACATCTAAGAGCCCTCAAAGTACTCCACCTCAATAACAATCGCTTAGAGAATTGGCCTGGAAGTCCTAACCTCAGTTTCATTGATTCTTTAACTAATTGCACATTCATGGAAGTACTACAACTAGGAAATAATCCGATTGCAGGTTTTATGCCTGACTCCATAGGAAACCTCTCAAACAATCTTAAATCCTTTACCGTTGGTGGTTGTCATATCGTGGGAAGCATCCCAGAAAGCATTGGCAACCTCCAAAGTTTGACAGGTTTGGATTTAGGTGACAATCCATTAGTGGAAGGATCCCATCAGAGATAGGTAGATTGCATAAGATTGAAGACTTGATACTCTACAGGAACAAGTTGGAAGGATCCATCCCCACAGAGTTTGGTCAGTTGCAGAGTTTGCTCTACTTGTACCTCAACGACAACATGATTTCTGGTTCCATTCCCCCTTCCATTAACAACCTCACGAAAATCTGTCTTAAACCTGGGCAACAATAAATTATCTGGTGAGCTACCTACTGGAATATGGAGCCAAGCATTGCTTGAGGAAGATTTATCACGAAACTCCTTCTCGGGGCGTTTGCCCCCAGAGATGGGAGGTTGATGTTGATCACTGTTATCTTACGTGATAATCTTTTATATGGAAATTTAACTAACAACATGGGAAACCTCCAGGCTCTTGAAAACCTCAACCTTTCTTTTAATTCATTTCAAGGAGCAATCTCGAGAACATTTGGAGATATGATAAGCTTGAAGTACATGGATATCTCTTCCAATAAATTGTCTGGTGAAATCCCAGGATCATTGTGTTCACTTAAATTCCTCTGGTTTTTAAACCTTTCTTTCAATGATTTAGAAGGGCCAATCCCAAGCAAAGGAGTATTTGCAAATATTACTGCTGATTCTCAGTGGAAACCCACGACTGTGTGGACCCCCAAAGCAAAGAGTGCCAGCATGCCCGATCAATTCTACATCACCAAGGTCAAGGTCATGGACAAGATCATTGGCATCTAAAATCCCTCTTGGGATCATATGTGCCATTCTCTTTAGTCTTTTATGCTTTTATCTGGTTTCCTTTAGGAGGCATGAGCTGAGGAGTGTTATAGCTGATGGTGTATCACAAATAAAGGGTATAAGGTGGATATCTTACTATGAGCTTCTCCGGGCAACTAATAACTTCAACAACTCAAACTTACTTGGAATTGGTAGTTTTGGCTCTGTATACAAAGGAATCGTATCAGATGGTTCACTGGCGGCAATCAAAGTTATGAATTTGCAAAGAGAAGGTTCCACGAAGAGTTTTCACACAGAATGAAAAGTGATGCAAGAGATACGCCACCGAAACCTGGTAAAGATTATTTCAGTATGTTCCAATTTGGACTTCAAAGCTCTGGTTTTACAATTTATGGTCAATGGCGATTTAGAGAGTTGGTTGCACAATGAAGATGAGGCCCATTGTCGACTGAATCTTCTCCAAAGATTGGACATATTGATCGATGTAGCACATGCCTTGGAATATCCCCATCACGATTATTTAGTGAGTATTGTTCATTGTGATTTGAAACCTAGTAATGTCCTCCTAGATGAAGATATGACTGCACATGTTGGAGATTTCAGAATCGCAAGGCTGATTGGGGAACAAAACTTTTCCGGCCAAACAAGCACCATTGGGACAATTGGATACATAGCTCCAGGTTTGATTTCTTTCCCACATTGATTTTCTTTGGTATTTTATTATAAATAGAAGATTACATAGTTTTCAGTTGTTCCCATTTCATCTAAATTATTGCCATATGCAAGCCATACTCAACCGTAGCATTAAAAACCAATTCATGGACAGATGCACCACATGGTGTGTTAGCAAGAAAGCAGAAATATGTAGCAAAAGTAATAGTTCATAATTGTATAGATGTGGAACTCATTGAATGCATTCATGTTATAGAGAAGGGAGTAGTAAATACACCTGGAAGGATAAAGGGAAGAAAAATATTTAAAAAAAGAGGAAGAAAAACCATATATGCATTGTCTCGATTACTGGTTTCTTCCATTCATTTTCAAGTATGGTGGAAACACCATTTTTGAAGTCCATGTCTAAGGACGTCTGATACATTTAGCGAGTCGGCAAACTCACTAAAACAGTGTCCAACCATCATCTTATGTTATGGCCTCTCGCTCTCTCCATCCAAGACGATGTCAAACTCTCATAACCACATGTCCATATGGGCATTGGATTAGCCCTTAACTTTCCCCAAGAATACCCTTCTTTTGAGTTAAGGACATGTAATATCTAACATGGAGATCGTGAATATGAATAAAAAATAAATTTGAAAATTAAAAATAATAATTCTATTAAGAAGACATTTGGACCTTTTTTTTTTCAATTATTTTTGGACGAACCACCTATTTGCATCCACCCCATCTTTAAGATGGATGCTTTATACCTCATGGACCGCAAATATAGAAATGTGATCCCCACCACATGAAACAATTGAATTATTTATGTATTGACCTTAAATAAGTTAAAAAAATACAAGTTGATCTCTTTATACTCGAAAAGTACAATCAAGATCGGTCAGCACGACCTTTTTTTTTTTTTGACAAAATTACTCCCTTTGTTTAAGGATGTCATACTCAGACCATTTTTTTTCATTTAAAACTTAAAAATTACGGTTCGAGGATGGTATTCTCGGACCTTTTTTTTTTAAAAAAAAAAACTTAAGTTGAGGGCCAAGGATTTTAACCTCAGAAATGAAACTTAAGTTTTTTTTAAAAAAAAAGCGGTCTTACAATGCCATCCTTGAACCGCAACTTTAAGTTTAAAAAAAAAAAAGGCAAAAACTAAAAAGAGGCGATCCGAGGATACCATCCCTGAATCGCTTTTTTTTTTTCAAAACTTAAAAGTGGTTCAATGATAGCATCCTTTGGCCGCTTTTTATTTTTTTAAAACTTAAAAGCGGTCCGGGGATGTTTTTCTTTCAAAACTTAAAGTTGTGGTCTGAGGATAGCATCCCCAGACCGTTTTTTTTTTTTCAAAACTTAAAGTTGCGATCCAAGAATGACATTCTCTGATCGAAACTTAAGTTTTGAAAAAAAAAAGCTGTTCGAGACTGCTATCCTCAGCCGCAATTGAAGTTTTGACCCAAAAAAAGCGGTCAGAGGATGACATCTTCGGACCAAGGGGTAATTCTGTAAAAATATAAAAGTCGCATTGATCGATCTTAATTGTAATTTTCAGGTATAAAAGAAGCAAATCGTATTTTTTAACTTATTTAAGGTCCATACATAGTTAACTCAACAATTTTCCTTGACTTCATGCAACGAGAAGCATTCGTTGCTCCACTATCTCACAATTTATATACCCAAACAAACAACTCAAAATGTAATGTTCATTCAAACCGACTTGGAGTAACTTTTGTCCCTGATCAGATGAACTCAAAACTTAAAACTATTTATTCGATAAGCACAGGTTTGTTAGTTTTGTACCTTGAATGGAAATAACTGCCATCGACCCGCTCAAGCCCCGAATTTTATAGGACAATCCAAAGTAGGAATATTATAATATGGTCCATAACAACCATAGTCATTGCCACCATTAAATCATTTATTGGACGGTGATAACCTCATGTTCATAGGCTCACAATGACCATATGGATCGCAGGACATTGGATAAAATTAAAGCATTAAGGTTTTTCTTTTATATTTTTACACAATAGGCATATTATTCCTCAAGGAAATTTTTACTGACCCAATTTGTTTGAACAATGATTAGAATATGGAACAGGGGGCAGTGTAACAACCAGTGGAGATGTCTATAGCTTTGGAGTAATATTATTTGAGATTTTTACAAGGAAGAGGCCCACTGATTCCATGTTTTCCAATGGTTTAAGCTTTACCAAAAATGGGTAGAACAAGAATACCCGGATGGAATGCTACAAGTTGTGGATGTGGATCTTTTGATGGAAAATGATAATCACAACAATCATAGCAAATCAAGACAACAATATTCAAGTTTAATGCTGAAATGCTTGTCATCAGTTATGGATGTGGGTTTGTTATGCACAAAGGCATGACCAAATGAGCGGATCAACATGAGGGCTGCAGTCTTAAAATTGGAAGACACAAGATCAAGCTACATCGCGATTTTGAGTGCCTGATTTTTTACACTCATTTCATATTATTCTCTTTTCTTCTTTTGTACTTCAGTGTTTTGGTTTTTGTTTTTAGTTCTTTTTTTTTTCTTTTTTTTTGTGAAATTACAGTAATTTGTGAAGCAGAAGCTTTTTCCAAATTGTGAGTTGGTCATCTGAACAAAAGTTGAAAAGCTTTGATAATGGAAATCAAGAAACAAATCTTTTCGCCATGGTTCTCCTTTGTGGTTTTGATAGGAGTAAAAGTAAGAGCTGCTCAGCACAAGGGAAACAAATTGTGTTGACAACTGAACAAGTAGATGCACTCTATGTACATCTCGTTTTACAGTTTTGAAAGCCAAGGTTTTCCAAATGGACCTAGTTTCTATGCGGCCAAGCCCGTATATGTAGAAATGCAGGTCTTTTAATAAATATATTTTTGAGATGGATTTTAAGACTTAATTTTTTAAGGACATGTAATCTCTAACATGGAGATTGTGAATATGAATAAATACATAAATTTTGAAAAGTTGACAGTTAGTTTCCTTTGTTTTTAGAAGGAACATCAATTTAAAGATGGATGCTTTACACTTTCGGACGTAAAAATGCCGTCCAGCCGGCATGAAAAAGTTTTCCTTTCCAAATCCTGTTTTATTTTATTTTACAAACCTTGTAGATTCCCTCAGTTGGTGGATCTAAATTTGTAGACAACTTTATCGATAGTATTTTCATTAAAAGGAATGATTAAAAGGGTTTCCAATAGACCAAGTATTGGAATTTATAAAAAAAAATGGCCATTGGTTAGACACTTTGATAGTGCTGATTAACTATGTAATAACAGAGAAATTAAATGCTAGGAAGAAAGAATATCCCCCAGCCAATTTTCTTATCGTTTTTATTTTTCTTTTTTCAGATTGAATATCCCATTCCAAAAAATAACAACAACAATAATGATACAAATGCGTATTGAATAATCCAGTGAAGACTAAGGATAAGAACCACCCAGGTATGACCTGACAAAGATGGTGCCGACATAGCTAAAAGGACATGTAGCTTACCCCATGAGATAATACAGGATACTTGCTCGCGTAGGTAAAAGATTTCCATAGGAGTACTTTTTAGATTTAAAATTTTGGGATCCATTTTACAATCAACAAGTAATGACTATCTAAAAAAAAAATGAATGTTGAGTTTCTAAACACTTTGGTATGACTGTTTAAAATAAGATTGCCTCAAAACATTCTTAGAACCTAATTATTTTCAAGCATATATAAAAGGTTGCGGTTTGTATAGAGCTTAGGCTCTAAACAATCAAATTAGAGCCTACCTTCAAATAGTGTCGAGAAATGTGGTTTCAATGCTAGAAATCTTTTTGATAGCCTTAAAATATATCTTTATCTTTATTTATAAAGTTTAAAGCTTCAAAAATAGTGTAGATTAAGAGATATATGAAAACTTGAAAATCTTGAAAATTGAAGGTCCAAAAATGCGTTACAAAATACACTATTTTCAAAACTTGAAATCTATTTTTTTCTCATGTCCATGCATCTTGATGTCGAGATGATCAATTTGAGGATATATGAACATTAAAACAACATCTTCTAGTGAAATTTTTGAGGTAGGCTTGAATTTGATTGTTTAGAGCCTCGACTCTATATAAACTTTTCTCTATATAAAATGGGTATGCTTTTTTTTTTTTCCTTTTTTTTTCATTTAAGGTTAGTTACTAGGTTTAAATAGTTACATCATGAAAATTTAGAATACTAAAATTAATCACACATAGGGTTTTTACGGTCGGCCCAACAACGTAGCAACCCAGTGTTAGAACTGGAACCGGCTTGCTAGATCGGACTGGTAGGGTTCCAACTCCGGTTAAACCCGATTTTGAGTTTTTAATAGGTGTACTTAGCACCCCAAAAAAAGTCCAGACCAAAACCGTCCAAAATGTACACAAAAAGGCCGGTTTTAAAGCTAACAACCCGATTTTTTACCAAACCGATTTTTAGATCACTTAAATAACGAAATAACGTTGAAATAGCACCCTTTATAATATAATGGCCGTTATTTGTTAAAGCAGTCCAGGGCAATTTTTTTCCGCCATTCCACCAATTTTAGGTGAAATCGAGTTGTATTTTGATTTAAATTAGAGGGGTTTTAAAGTTTAATATGTTCTTCATAGGATTTTAGATCCTTTATTTTTAATTAAACAGGTTTTGTTTCTCGATTTTTGAGAAAATCAATTTCCAGCAGTGTTTTCTGAAAAACAGTTCATTCATCTGCCAAAGTGTTGTTTTCAGGCGAATTTGGGCACGATTTTGAAAGACATTTGAGGGTTTTCGAAGATAATTATGTTTTTAAGAACCCCACCGACAAAACAACGCCATATCCAAGGAAAGTGCCAATACATTTCTTTAATCTGCTGCAAATTACATAGGAATCTTAGAAAGCATTAGGAAAGCGAGCTTGAAAATTTAGTACCCCCACTATGGTAAGCACTTGAAAGAAAATTTGTTCGAGGACTTAGAAAGGTGGGAAACCATATTTTAGGCATAAAGATCAAGACGGTTTGTTTTGGACATGTGTTATTTAAAAATAAAAAAATCTAATAAAAATATCAAAAAAATAATTTGTAGAAATTATATTTGATCAAAATACCTTCGAAACTTTTCAAAGATATTTTGGTCTATTTATTTTTACGAATTATTATTTTTAATATTTTTATTAGTTGGGCATTAATGAGAAGAATAGATACCTAAAATTTCATGTGATTTGGATTTGTACAAGAAAATTAAAATTAAAATATAAAATGAAGTTTTAACCATCCTATTGTTGACACTTTAAATGGTACTATGAATGTGTGTAATTGATCATCTCGACATCGAGATGTATAGATATGAAAAAGAAAATGAAGGATTTCATGTCCGAAAGATTATCGTGCAACACATTATATCGACCATCTATTTTCATGTATTTATAGACATGCCAGATTTAAATCATTTTTTAGGTTTAAAATTTAAGATGAAATTGATTCTCAGGTAACGGTGGAAAAAATTTGTTAGAATGTTCTTCCCCTTATCCAACCGTCCATTCTAAATGGAGGGCTAAGATTACCTCAATCACAATGTCACATCTCTACACTATTTTATTTTTAATGTTTTTTCTACATACTATTTTGACACCAAATTTTGGATGTCCAATCCTCTATTAAGCTCGCACTATCAAAAGCATATAAAAAAAATATTTTCACTAAAATAAAATGACTAAAATACCTTTAAAAGTTTCAAGGAGTATTTGGGTCATTATATTTTATCAAAAAATTATTTTTTAATATTTTTTATAGGTACTTCCCAATTAGAAGATGTCACATCCCAAATTTCATATGCATACAATTTGTATAAAAAAATGTTTTGAAACGTCGGATCTAAAATCAAATGGTGAGTGGCTCTCTTGATCAAAATTAGACGGTTAGATGTTAGGGGAAGCATAGATTTTATATGCTGTAGCAAAAATATAGAAACCTTTCCCATCAATTTAATTTCGCCGTTTTACAGAAGTCATGTGAAAATATAATAAAAAACGACTGTGATACTAGACAAATCATTATTATATTCTTCACTTTTGCAATTTTGAAACGTTACATTGTCTCAAGATATTTCACTCAATTTTGCACGTTATAGTGTCTCAAGATATTTCACTTTTGTACATAGTTTTACCTAGTCAAATCTGTTATGACATCCTCTTATGTCATGACCAATTAGTGTATTCGTAAAGAAGCTATTTACCATGAACTGAGTTGTGCTCAGTTGAGAGAGCGGTTTAAGGTTCCCATCTTTAGAACGTTAATGTTTTCTCTAAAAATAAGACCAATAATACAGTCCGAAGATGGTGATTTTTACAAAAAAATTAAAAAGAAAAAGTAGTTCGAGGATGGGGATCTCGGACAAGCTGGGCATTGTCCTATTAACGGAAAAACTAAAAAACATAAAAATAAAATGTGGTTTGAGGAAATCATTCTCTGACCAATGGACAATTTTAGCGTGGGTTGACCGATCTTTCTTGTAATTTCTGCCTATAAATGGAGCATTTTGTATTTTAGATAAAGTTTTTTAGTACGTAAATCACTCAAATCCCTTTTCATGTGTATGTGGGTGTATCACTTTGAAACATTATAGTATATTTGATCATCAGTTATTCTCCTGGGGCCGTTTGAATACCTATAAATATATTATCCTTGAAATATATTACTGGCATAATACATTATCTGTAAATGGATTCTTACTGGTTAGGAGTATTTAGATGAAACCTGGGAGAGAGCACCATAAATACTTCCCATATTTCCCGCCTACTCGATAAATATTTCCTGCCTACTTGGTAACAATCCCATATTTCTCGGCTATTAGGGAGGGAGCACCATAAATGCTCCATCTCTCTTTACGCCCCTTCTTCTCATTTGTACTTTTCCCTTTTATTTAGTCCCTTCCTCTTATCGGATTTTTTCTTTTTTTAGCCTCATAGTCACATATGCTGACTTTTTCCATTCTCTCTCTCCTTAGCCTATCCTTTCTCCATACCATATCTAATACAACACAATTATAATAAAAAAATTCACCCAACATAAGAAATTACACAACTCAATTATAATAAAAAATTTCACCCAATATAATCCTCATACGAGATTAGTAAAAGCTCAATTAAAATAAGATACCCGTTACCACAAAGTTTTCTACGATAATTACCAAACATTCTAGTTTACTAATCAAACTTCTTCCCACTTTTTAACTGGTACTGTCACACCCCAAGAATTTACAATACTGTTATTCCTGAGATGTGACAGACAAAACATATATACATCTATTGATAGGACAAATTTACAGTGGCGAGGTTTTACAAAGTAACAAAAGAAAGCTAGCACAACAACAAAATCTTTCAAGGTTGATCTTGACTAGCACTCAAAATGAATCCGCAGTTATCCTGAAAAAATGTTTACCATAGTTTGATGAGTTTGGCTACTCAGTAAGTGATCATCATAATCCTAAAAATAATCATGATTGAAAGATATCAATATTTTCCAAAATGAGATCCATTAACAGAAATGCATCAACAGTTTCACTTTCAATAAATGCATAATTAAGTATAATCCGAGTAATTGAAATGCTTATAACACTTTTAACGGCAGTGCATAACTCAAAGGATTTCACAAAATACCCTACTGGCGTCCCAAGTAGGTC